TGGGCGCCCCTGCCCAGCCTCCCCCTTCCCCCTCCCCCACCTCCGAGCCAGGGATTCCCCCTTGCTGTGGGGATTCCCCAACCCAGCTCCTCTCTGCTCAGCCTCTTGCTGGGGGCGCAGGTGGTGCCGGGGCTGGGGGGCTGATCAGAAGGCGGGCCGGGGTAATTGGTGTGGATGGGCTGCAGGCCAGGGGTAGTTAGATGAGAAGGGGGCAGGAGACCACAGGGGGCTCAGGATTGGGGGCCGGGTCATAGGTCCTAAGGAAACTTTCTAATCCTCGGCCAGGGCAGGAACCTGCCTGGAGTTCCCATGATGCTCTGCTGGGAGAGCCCCCTTTCAGGATCCCCAGAAAAAGACCCCTTGATTCAAGGGGGCTAGAACCAGCTGCCCCCCATCCCTTCCGCCCCCCCTTGAATCCCTGCTCCTGGCAGCGGGTCTCCCTGGGGGAGGTGCTGGCCCCCCCAAGATGCACTGGGCTCCAGACACGCCCCCGTGCAGGCGACCTTCGCCCTCTCCCGCCCGGTTAAGTGGCCTGTTGAAAGGGCACGGAGCCCCTGCTCTCGGCGTTGTTGGGCTCTGGCGCTCCACAGGTTCAAATCCCAGCTCAGGCCAGGAGCCCCTCCCCATGCAGGGCCCCACCAGCTCCCCTTGGCAGCCCCCCACGGGGCCAGGACGCCGATGGGGGCAGCCGGCCCTGGCTCTTCGGACGCCTTGCCGGGGTGTCTGCTCACCAGCCTCCTGCCCGGCGCTTGTCCCCCGCTCCAGGACTTGAGCCAGGCCTCCTTGCTGCAGCGGGCTGGCTCCCTGCGGTGCGACCAGCCCTCGGGGACCATGCTGCCCCGGAGCAACCAGTCCGAGTGCCTGCAGCGCCGGCTGCCCATCACCCAGCACTTTGGGCAGGTGAGCCCGTGTGGGCTGGGGGAGGGCACATCTGGATGGGGGGCAGGGGCTGCAGAGGCAAAAGTGGGGCATCTGGAAGGGAAAACTGGAGGGGGGGTAATTCCCATGCAGAGGTGGAACATCTGGGGGGAGTCACAGGGCAGGCAGGGAATCCTGCAGAGGGGGAAAATGGGAATGGCTCCCCGCCCCGCCCCTCCCATGTACCCCTTAACCTCTGAGTACCAGCTGGAGGGTGCCAGGCCAGCATGGAAGGGCCTGGGGGGCAGGGTGGTCCTCCCCCCAGCTGGAGGGGCTCGGGGTTGCACTGCCCTGGGGATCAGTTGCTCCTGCGTCTTTCCTTGCAGTCCCGGCCCCTGCGACCCAATAAACGCGCCGGTCGGACAGAGCTGGAGGCCCAGAGGCAGCGGTGGGGAGGGGGCGGCGGGAGCTGGAAGGCAGA